GTGGCGGTTGCGTTGAGGTTGAAGGATGTTGCTGAGTCCTCGGGGACATCTGCAGGGTCCTAGTTTTTTTGGGGGGTTTGGTTTTGTAATTACATTTGGTGAGAGGAGATTCAACTGCATTTTGTTGTTGGGGCTCTGCGGGAATTCTGAGATCTTTACAGATTGGTGTCGTGCATGGCATTGTGATTGGGATGGATTGAGTGCAAATGTATCTGAATTGTTTTTTGTTCATAACTTCTTGTTCTGGATCCTCTTCTGTTTCTCTGCTTTTTCGTTTATGGTTGAGATTTCTAGTATGCTTCCGCTGGAACAAGGGTAATAAAGTAATTGCGCATAAAAAAGAAGTAGGAAATAAATAACTGAGGTGCCATTGGACAAGGTTCATTTAGCATAACACTTCTTAATATCTACCAAAAAAATGCAACAATTGTTTTTGGTGAACAAAAGTTTAGGGGGAGGGGAGATGACCCCATTTCAGAACCAGGTCAGGTCATATCACAAGTCTTTTTGAAGGCTTACAGAGGGGTTCATGCCCCTTTATTAGTTTTTACAGCTCGCCCATCAACATTGGTCTGCTGACAACAAGACTCGAATCTTAGTGGGGTGACACACAAGGCAGGGACCTTACCACCTAAACCAACCCGTGTTGGCTAAAAAACAACGATTTTGTTAGTAAAAAAATGGGGAACTTTTTGAATTTGCAACATAAACTTTACCTGATTTATAATTTGTCACTTGAATTGTCAATTTTTTATTTACGAATAATATTCTATGCTAACTTATTCAAAGACGAGAATTTGAATTTAAAAAAAAATTAACTATCAGGTTAATCAACCACTTGCATCACTTAAATTACCAACTAATTACAAATTTTCGATACAAATAACCTTTAAAAGACTAATATGTTCTTGGAAATAAGTCATGCATGTTATACATGTTTTATTTTTTTTACTCGAAATTTAATTGAGTTTACCATATGTGACAAATTACAACTAATTATTTATTAATGTGACACCTCTACAATTTTTCTCAAATAGCAATTTGAGAAAGTTTTGTTTTCCTCTTTTTTCCCCGTTACAAGTAAAATTGAAATGAAATGACCTTTTTAGCCTTAGCGAACTCAAAACCTGCATGCTGGCATCCAGTATCCAATCGATCCACCAAAACCCTAAACCCTTGATGCTCGTTAGTCGTTCCCGAATTCAAATCTGTATTTCCTTCAACTGCTTTGGAAATTTTAAAAGTCGAAAACTTTATCGGACTTGTGTTGCTGGGTCCGAAGGTGAAAGACCACCTCTTGGCTTGCACTCCACCTGTTTGATGAAATTCCCCTTCAGTCTTTCTTCTCAATTTTTCTGTGTGCATTGCTAGTGTGACTATGGAGAATCACGACGAAGCGCAGCTCCAGAGTTTTCTCAAAACTCTCCCCCCTGTTGAGTTCTGCTGTGTCTATGGCTCATCTCTTCACCCCAGCCATCCTTCCACTGCCACGGTTTTTTTTACTTTGCTTCTGCAATTCTTTTTTACTATTTTACCGGTTGTTTTTTTACTTGACTGTGTAAATATTGAAGCTTTACTTTGCATTTGTGAATTTTGGGGTGGCAGTCAACTATGGTGGATTGCATTCTTGGTGTATCAGATCCCCAGCAATGGCATTCTGAGGTGAGCTTTTAGACTACAACTCATTATTTGCATCTTTTTGATGTATCGATAACTTCTCGCGGCTTTTACTTCTTTTGTGCATTATACAAGTAGAATTTGAAATTGAACAACGATCATTACGCCTCATGGATGGTGCTCCTTGGTGGAGCAAGGCTGGTCAGCTCTCTCTCTCTCTCTCTCTCTCTCTCTCTCTCTCTCTCTCTCTCTCTCTCTCTCCTCTCTCTCTCCTCCTCTCCTCTCTCTCATCCTCTCTCTTCTCATATCATTTGTTTCATTGATTCTGACACATTATATTCTTGCATGCTAGATTACTGGCGTTGCAGATGAAATCGGTGTAGGAGTGCACTTCAATCCTTTTGTTAGTTGGAATGACAAGGTATTGATCACTCAGCCGCTTGTATGTTCAAGTATAGACTGTTAGGCATATGAGCTTTCTTGCCATGTTTTAAACTGATATTGTTCTAGTACTTTGGTATACATTCCACAATCTTTTGCATCTTAGTATCTTTTCGTGATTCATCACAAACTAACACTATGTAATTTTTACAGACGTATAAGTATGGGGTTGTTGGCATGCACAACTTGGTTCAGGATGTGCTAACTTGGGAGAGGTTCTATTTGAGCGGCCGATTACAAAAGCCAGTATGTCTTTCTCATTGATTCTCACTTTTTTTGTTGTGTGGGTTTGTATTTGTGGGACATTAATCTTCAGCTCCATAATTGTCCGCTTATTTGGTTTTAGTTAACTCCTGCTTAGTTACATTTTTCTCAACTGTCTTCTAGTAGCACTGTTTGCTACATGAGGAAAATCTAAGTACCAGAACTTCTAGTTGTATTGGGAGTTTTCAATGTTTTTTTTTTTCAACAGGTTCAGGTACTTTTGGATAATTCGGATATCACAAATGTAAACTCGGTTAATTTGAGGGCTGCAATGTCTGCTGCGCTCCTTCTTTTGCCATCCAATTTCACTGAGGTCTTATTCTTAGTCACTGCTCAATCAGTTTAGAATGTCTGAAGTTCTATTACATACTTCATTTAATGCAGGAAGATCTGTATGCCAAAATATGTAGCCTCTCGTATATGGGTGACGTGCGTATGCTTTTTGCAGAGGACAGAAATAAGGTAAAGCTCAATCTCAGGTTACACAAATCCACAAACTTGCATTCAGTTGGTGGGTCTTCTAATTATGTAGCCAAACTTAAGCTATTTCTTTAATTTAGATGATCTACTGCAGGTGAAGAAAATAGTACAAGGGCAATTTGAATTGTTCCAGTCGATGTATAAGCCATTTATAGAAGAGTATGAGACCAAAGAGTTTTTGAGACGCTCGTTATCTGGGAATCCTCAACCAATTATATCTCAGGTATATTATAACCCTCAGGTTGTCAATGTGGGATTGATGAGTTGATCCAACATTATCTCTCCAACTTTTATTGCCTAATGGATAGCATACAAAATGTTTTTGACAAAAATACGTGTACTTTTTTCATTTGTATACAACACGTTTTTGCTTTCATCTTTGTTAATTATATTGCTAGCTCCTGCTTTTGGAAGTCGAAACATTTGTAGTTTGTTTAACCTTTTTTGCAACTTTGATCTCCGTGAAACCCTTTTATCCACAATCACTCTTATTGTCAAAGTGTTTATTTATAGTTTCTTAGACGTTAAAAGTATTTAAATGGTTGATTTCATGGATCTTTGGTTGCATGTTTTTGAATTTATTAAGCTAAATATCAACTTAAAGACTTAAGTATATGGCTAATTCTTCTGAAAGTTATTTAATTTAGTCTACAGTTCACTTTTTGTTGTGTTCGAAGATTAATATACGTTATTGCCTGATAAAACAGGATTGTGGTTTATCAGCCGCCCGATCTCTCGTTTCTTCTCTGCCCCCGATGATCAGAAGCCAAATGGGGATGAAGCTAGGAGAGAAGAAAGCACTGTGCGGCTCTGGTATGAACCTTAACTCATCTGCATTACGCTTCTCAAGGTATTTGAAGTATTTATCTAATCTCATATGTAATGATCATAACCGTTCCCGAAGTTTTTTAGGAAAACCTCGCTTGTTAGAAAAGGAAAGGAAAATTCATCCCAAACTTCCAGATTTGTGTGGCACAAAGATAGTGTTTGACTTAGCTAGGATGGCAGTTTAACAGCGTACTTGTAACTCCCGATTGGAGTCAATCATTACACATGTCACTTACTTCAAATGCAGGTCGAGCTGTTCACGATATTGTGATTGGATCCAAAGACGAGGCTGCTAAATGCATGCAGAGTATTTTGAGGCGAAAGGTCATGGTTTCAAGTGCAAGACAGGCAGTAGCTGGTCTCATAGCTGTTGGTGGCATTAATGGCATGAGATATCTTGGTGCTAAAATGAGCAAGGCATGGAAATCCTGGAGATCATAACTCTTTTTTATTTATTCATGCCGTTTTTGGTGCGAGACTTTTTCAGGAAGAAACTTTTAGTATGGGATGGACGTTAAAAGCGTGGTTTTGCAGTCCGATTCAACAAGAGGTGAGGTGCTTGAAACATAACATAAACAAGAACTTTCTTTGTACCAAGGAAGAGTAAATTATCGCTACCAGCGGCCTACGACATCATGTAATAAGAAACCGAGGGAGAAAGCAAGCCTTGAATGGAAATGTAAACTTCATCTTGCGTTAACTACAGAAGAATTACAGTTTTGAACATGTAATTCGCACGATAGAGCTCGAGTATTAAGGTTTTCTTTACTGCCATTTTCTGAGAAAGTTCGGAGAATAGAATGACTTTTTTATTACTGTGTTAGTTTTCAGCATTTTGTTCAAGATGTTACCTTTGATTCCGATTCGGTGCTGTCGAATCTAAGACTTTTTTTACGAATGCAGTCAGTTAGATGACATGAAGTTCTACCAACTCGTTTAATTTTGAACTAGCAAATTCGACTTAGCTGGCTTGTTGGTATCATGCGACAGTGTGACAGTCACTAGAAAACTTCCCGATGCCAATTCTGTATAAGTTAAAAGGGTCCGGCAGCATCTTCATAATTTTGTGGTAGATGACAATACAACCGATCAAGGCAGTGGAATCTTCAGTTTAAATGACAATATGCAAACATTATTCAACACAAAATGCAGTTTTCCGAACAAAACGCGTATCAATTATGACAAGTCATCACAACAACACAATCCCACAAAACCAGCCCCACCTGCATCATTTCGGTCACTTTCAATCAACAGTTATGCAAGAGACTGGTAACCCAATTGGTTACGAGCGTTTATCACTACACACGAGATCATAGGTTCAATTTAGCCGTCCCCTCATTCTCGTTTGTACATAAAAAGAAAAAAAAAGGTAAACGTCACGAGTTATGCATATCAATAATTGAAGAAACAATCCAAGAAGTAGGAGACAAGATTAAAACTCTCGGGACTGGATCCCATATATTCTAGCATTTCTCACTAATCTTAAAATTGTTAAGGAAGGATACAAGGACAGCACTCTAAAATATCACAGTGCCTTGAGTGTTAAGGAAAAATACGAGGAAAAATAATGGGTTCCATGGAAGTGCGGGGTGAAGACGTCCAGCAAAGAAGTTACTGGAGATGCAGCAAACAAGATTTCCTACCAGAAGAATCCTTTCAGAATTGGAGTACATACCGAACGGCCCTGTCACAAACAGGCCACAGGTTCAAGAACCGTCTCCTCAGCAGATCAAATGATAACGATGAGATTGGGGAACTTCGGAAACAAAGTGAGAATGACATGAAGCGCTGCCTTACTTGGTGGGATCTCATGTGGTTTGGGTTTGGTTCGGTCATTGGTGCAGGCATCTTTGTGCTTACTGGCCTAGAAACTCAGAGACATGCTGGACCAGCTATTGTCTTGTCCTATGTTGCTTCCGGTCTCTCCGCAATGCTCTCTGTCTTCTGCTACACAGAATTTTCAATAGAAATCCCTGTGGCTGGTGGAGCTTTTGCTTACCTGCGGATAGAATTGGGGGACTTTGTTGCATTCATACAGCAGGAAACATACTTCTTGAAAGCATTGTTGGAAGTGCAGGACTTGCTAGAGCATGGACTTCTTACTTCACAGCGCTCTTGAATCATCCTTCCAACTCGCTACGCATCCACACAAATCTGGCGGAGGGGTTCAATCTGCTGGACCCGATAGCTGTCACTGTTCTGGCAATAGCGGAAACAATAGCAATGATCAGCACAAGGAAGACCTCTTACTTAAACTGGATAGCATCTGCAGTCAATAATGTTATAATTTTGTTTGTGATAATTGCAGCTTTTGTCCACGCCAAGCCGTCAAATTTGAAGCCCTTTTTTCCTTTTGGGGCCAAAGGAGTCTTTCAGGCAGCTGCAATTGTTTACTTTGCTTATGGAGGATTTGACAATATTGCCACCATGGCTGAAGAAACGAAAAATCCATCAAGAGACATACCTCTAGGATTGCTTGGATCAATGACAATCATCACTGTCGTATATTGTTTAATGGCACTTTCACTACCTATGATGCAGAAATACACAGATATAGACCCAAATGCAGCGTATTCTGTAGCATTTCAAAGTGTGGGCATGACATGGGCCAAGTACCTGGTAGCTGTTGGTGCCCTCAAGGGAATGACCACTGTTCTTCTGGTCGGGACACTTGGACAGGCACGATATATCACTCATATTGCACGAGCCCACATGATTCCACCATGGTTTGCTCTTGTTCATCCGAAGACAGGAACCCCCATAAACGCTACAGTTTTGATTGCCATTTCAAGTAGCTGCATCGCTTTCTTTTCGAGCTTGGAAGTTTTGACAGGCCTGTTATCAGTGAGCACGCTCTTTATCTTCATGATGATGGCAGTCGCACTTCTGGTGAGGAGGTACTATGTGAAAGATATCACCCCAAAACACCACCTCTTAAATCTTGTCATCTTCTTGCTGATCATTATTGCTTCCTCAATGGGGACTGCAGCTTACTGGGGGCTGAATCCCAATGGTTGGGTTGGCTATGTCGTGACAGTTCCTCTTTGGTTCTTTGGGACTTTGGTGATGGCAGTGTTTTTACCTCAACAACGGTCACCAAAACTTTGGGGGGTTCCGCTGGTACCTTGGTTGCCATCCCTGTCAATTGCAACAAACATCTTTCTTATGGGATCTTTGGGTCCTGAAGCTTTCGAAAGATTTGGAATCTGCACTGTAGTCATGCTTATTTACTACGTCTTCTTTGGTCTGCATGCAACTTACGATGTGGCTCATAAGCAAGACATGACAGAAGAATCCCTGAAAGTCAATGGCAGCAATATCAGAGAAAAGGCAGAGCCTTGAAATCACAGTACTCTCTAAATATTTGTATGAACAAATGTCAAAATAATGCTGGAAATAGAATGCAAGCTCAACATGTTAAAAATATGAATAAATGCATTAATCTGGGTACAAAAATTGGAACATAGAAGGCTGGGTTCATGCCATCCTTGCCAAATTCAGGTTTCTACCAACAGAAATTTCAATTTTCTTAGAAGTTGAAAGGTCCGTCACGCTCGCGGTCAAAGTTTAAATTCAAGACCCGTTATTGAATGCGACAGAAATACAATTTTTCCTGGTTTATTTAGAGACGGCAGTTCTTCATTATTTTGTGGAATCATCAGACTAAATGACAATACTGCAAACATTATTCGACCCAAATTGCAGTTTCAGAAGCAACCGCATTTCAAAATTGACAAGTCATCAACAACAACAACAACAACAAAGCCTTTTCCCACTAAGTGGGGTCGGCTATATGAATCCTAGAACGCCATTGCGCTCGGTTTTGTGTCATGTCCTCCGTTAGATCCAAGTACTCTAAGCCTTTTCTTAGAGTCTCTTCCAAAGTTTTCCTAGGTCTTCCTCTACCCCTTCGGCCCTGAACCTCTGTCCCGTAGTCACATCTTCGAACCGGAGCGTCAGTCGGCCTTCTTTGCACATGTCCAAATCACCGGAACCGATTTTCTCTCATCTTTCCTTCAATTTCGGCTACTCCTACTTTACCTCGGATATCCTCATTCTCAATCTTATCCTTTCTCGTGTGCCCACACATCCCACGAAGCATCCTCATCTCTGCTACACCCATTTTGTGTACGTGTTGATGTTTCACCGCCCAACATTCTGTGCCATACAACATCGCTGGCCTTATTGCCGTCTTATAAAATTTTCCCTTGAGCTTCAGTGGCCTACGACGGTCACACAACATGCTGGATGCACTCTTACACTTCATCCATCCAGCTCGTATTCTATGGTTGAGATCTCCATCTAATTCTCCGTTCTCTTGTAAGATAGATCCTAGGTAGCGAAAACGGTCGCTTTTTGTGATCTTCGCTAAATTGCTCCGGTCATTAGTGTGGATAAGTATATAAATGGATAGAGATAGGAAAGCAAAACACAAGATGTACGTGGTTCACCCAGATTGGCTACGTCCACGGAATAGAAGAGTTCTCATTAATTGTGAAGGGTTTACACAAGTACATAGGTTCAAGCTCTCCTTTAGTGAGTACAAGTGAATGATTTAGTACAAATGACATTAGAGTACAAATGACATTAGGAAATATTGTGGGAGAATGATCTCGTAATCACAAAACTTCTAAGTATCGGAGTGTGGTATCATCTTGACTTGCCTTATCTGTCTCATAGGTAGATGTGGCAGCTTCTCTGGAAGTACTCTTCCTCCATCCAGGGGTGGTATCTTTAACTGGTGGAGATGCACAAGGTAATGTATCAATTTCACTTGAAGCTTACTTGTAGTTTCAGGCTTGGTCAAGCGCGATACAAACCATGTAGTAGGAGTCCCCAAGTCGCCGAGCTAGGGGATTTGCTGAAAGAGGTGACAGACAAGGTAAGCAATCAGAGCTCCGGCTGATTGTTCACCTTCTCCCCATCTTGCAGCAGAATGAAGGATAAAGAGAAGAAAAATGAGAAGAGATGATATGGGATACTTTTGCTTTTGAAGAAGTAACTTTCCACAGGCTTATTCTTGAACTGAGCTGGAGGGTTTTCTGGTTTCCTCCAGAGTATAAGGCCGACTGAAGAATTTGAGGGTCAAAACAAGTCCATCAAATCTAGAGTACGTTCGACCCTGCTGATATGGGATACTTTTGCTTTTGACAGAGTAATGGATGGATCGGCACGTGTGCTGTTACGCTTATCTCCACATGCTTCCTTGTATCCTTCGCACTTGCCCTATCTGTTCCTCAAGCAGATGCGGTATCTTCCCTGGCAACATAAGATGTTGAAGATGAGTACTCGAGAGCAATGCCAGGTAAGTAATCAGGGTAAGGGGTTCCAGGCTGTCAGTTCCTGGCTGGGAGCTTGATTTCAAGTGCTGACTGATTGCTCTCTTTCTCCTTATCTTGCAGGTAAAAACAAGGCCAAAGGAAAAGACAGGGAAAAAGCATGATATGGGATACTCTTGCTTTTAACCCTGATGATATGAGATATTCTTGCTCTAGTATAGCTTGTTTGCAGAGGTATTATCGGGGGGAAAGAAAGCTGAATATTTCGAAAGGCTTCGTTGGGAGTGCCCTCTCAGATATGAGGAAGGGTTGAGCATTTTTGCAGGTCTGCCTGTCCGTTGGGGATGGAGGTCGACATATATAGGAGTCTCCCTAACAACAAGTAGTAATGCTATTCCTTTACCCTGCTTGGTCATAGCACGGTAGTGGGAGCTGCCAGCTTCACATGTTTTAACTCTGTCAGAGCACTTTGAAAAAGTGGTATGTGGTATCTGGCTCTCGAGATTCGGAGAACGATGCTTCTTCGATTTTTGAGAAAGCAATCATGGTGGGGGTCTGGCTCTCGAGATTCGGGGAGCAGTGTCTCTTCGATTTTTTGAGAAAGTAATCATGTTGAGAGTCTGGCTCTCGAGATTCGGAAGGCGGTGCCTCTTCGATTTTGGAGTAAGCAATCTTGTTGGGAGTGTTTTCTCGGATGTGAGTAAAGGTTGGGCATGTTTGCTAGTCTACCTTGCCACGAAGCACGGAGGTTGACACACAGGGACTTTCCAATTATCCAGCAGTGGTACTGTTCCTTTACCCTTGTGGGTAATAATATGGTAGCTAGACCTTCAAAATTTATGTGTCTAAACTTTGTTAGTGCTGTTTCTTTGCTATTCTTTTACCTTTCTTGGTCAGAGCGATGTAGTGGGAGCTGCAAGCTTCACATGCTCAACTTTGGCAGAGACTTTGACAAAGTTATCTGTGGTACCCATGAGCTATTGTTGCGTGTGGGAAGTGGGTGATTGAACAGTAAGATTCATGTGCTTTCTACTTCACCAGAAGTCTTCGACAGAATGCCCATAATTTCCGCAAAGCTGAGTGTGCGTGTGACAGGTGCTGACAAGGCTAGAAAAGAAGGTGCCTCTTCGATTTCTGAGATCGGCCCTCGTGGTCTCTGAGCAGCCCAGCTTTTGAGAAAGCGAGCGCCTCTTCGATTGATTCGGAGAACGATGCCTCTTCGATTTTTGAGAAAGCAATCATGCTGGGGGTCTGGCTCTCGAGATTCGGGGAGCAGTGTCTCTTCGATTTTTGAGAAAGTAATCATGTTGGGAGTCTGGCTCTCGAGATTCGGAGGGCGGTGCCTCTTCGATTTTGGAGCAAGCAATCTTGTTGGGAGTGTTTTCTCGAATGTGAGTAAAGGTTGGGCATGTTTGCTAGTCTACCTTGCCACGAAGCACAGAGGTTGACACACAGGGACTTTCCAATTATCCAGCAATGGTACTGTTCCTTTACCTTCTCTTCGATTTTTGAGAAAGTAGTCATGTTGGGAGTCTGGCTCTCGAGATTCGGAGGACGGTGCCTCTTCGATTTTGGAGCAAGCAATCTTATTGGGAGTGTTTTCTCGAATGTGAGTAAAGGTTGGGCATGTTTGCTAGTCTACCCTGCCACGAAGCACGGAGGTTGACACACAGGGACTTTCCAATTATCCAACAGTGGTACTGTTCCTTTACCCTTGTGGGTAATAATATGGTAGCTAGACCTTCAAAATTTATGGGTCTAAACTTTGTTAGTGCTGTTTCTTTGCTATTCTTTTACCCTTCTTGGTCAGAGCGATGTAGTGGGAGCTGCAAGCTTCACGTGCTCAACTTTGGCAGAGAACTTTGGCAAAGTTATCTGTGGTACCCATGAGCTATTGCTGCGTGTGGGAAGTGGGTGATTGGACAGTAAGATTCATGTGTTTTCTACTTCCCCAGAAGTCTTCGACAGAATACCCATAATTTCCGCAAAGCTGAGTGTGCGTGTGACAGGTGCTGACAAGGCTGGAAAAGTAGGTGCCTCTTCGATTTCTAAGATCGGCCCTCGTGGTCTCTGAGGAGCCCAGCTTTTGAGGAAAGCGAGCGCCTCTTCGATTTCTGAGATCGGCTTTTCGTGGTCTTTGAGCAGCCCAACTTTTGAGAAAGCAAACACCTCTTCGATTTATGAGATCAACCTTCGTGGTCTCTAGCAGCCCAGCTTTTGAGAAAGCAAACGCCTCTTCGATTTCTGAGCAGGCGCCTCTTCGATGTCTAAAGCTCCGTCGAGTGCAGCTTTTTATAGGGGCTGGCATTAAGTTCCAAAGCACACTTGAATCTCCACCAGTAGAAGCTCCATTCTTGCACTTCTAAGATCTTGATTTGTCCGACCTCTTCTCTCTTCAATACCTTTGAAAATGTCTGGCCCCTCCGACCGTCGTTTTGACTTGAACCTTGTTGAAGAGGCAGCCCCGCCTTCTCCAGACAACATATGGCGCCCATCCTTCGTCTCCCCTACTGGTCCTCTTACCGTTGGGGATTCCGTGATGAAGAATGATATGACCGCTGCGGTGGTGGGCCAGGAACCTTCTCACTCCCAAAGATAACAGACTACTTTCCAAACGGTCTGATGAGTTAGCTGTTAAGGATTCACTGGCTCTCAGTGTTCAGTGTGCAGGTTCTGTGTCTAATATGGCCCAACGCCTATTTGCTCGAACCCGCCAAGTTGAATCATTGGCGGCCGAAGTGATGAGTCTCAAACAGGAGATTAGAGGGCTCAAGCATGAGAATAAACAGTTGCACCGGCTCGCACATGACTATGCTACAAACAATGAAGAGGAAGCTTGACCAGATGAAGGAAACTGATGGTCAGGTTTTACTTGATCATCAGAGATTTGTGGGTTTGTTCCAAAGGCATTTATTGCCTTCGTCTTCTGGGGCTGTACCGCGTAATGAAGCTCCAAATGATCAACCTCTGATGCCTCCTCCGTCTAGGGTTCTGTCCAGTACTGAGGCTCCGAATGATCCCCCTCGGATGCCTTCTCTTTCTGGGGCTTCTACCGACTGCTGAGACTTCTCCTAAGCAACCTTTGTGAAGGCTCCCTCTTGTTTGTTTATTTTGACTCATGTATATGTACATATTTGTAGCTTATCGGGATATCAATAAATAAGTTTTCCTTCATTTCAACGTATTGTGTTAAATACACCAAAGCCTTCTTCGCTAAGTTCTTTGAATTTTCTTTTGTTGAAGCTTGTATGTTGAAGCTTTGTGAGTGGAGCATGTAGGTTGGGGTAGTGTTCCCTTAATTTTCCCGAGTGAGGAAAACTTCTCGGTTGGAGACTTGGAAAATCCAAGTCACTGAGTGGATCGGCTATATGAATCTTAGAACGCCATTGTGCTCGGTCCTGTGTCATGTCCTTCGTTAGATCCAAGTACTCTAAGTCTTTTCTTAGAGTCTCTTCCAAAGTTTTCCTAGGTCTTCCTCTACCCCTTCGGCCCTGAACCTCTGTCCCATAGTCGCATCTTCTAATCGGAGCGTCAGTAGGCCTTCTTTGCACATGTCCAAACCACCGTAACCGATTTTCTCTCATCTTTCCTTCAATTTCGGCTACTCTTACTTTACCCCGGATATCCTCATTCCTAATCTTATCCTTTCTCGTGTGCCCACACATCCAACGAAGCATCCTCATCTCCGCTACACCCATTTTGTGTACGTGTTGATGCTTCACCGCCCAACATTCTGTGCCATACAGCATCGCCGGCCTTATTGCCGTCCTATAAAATTTTCCCTTGAGCTTCAGTGGCATACGGCGGTCACACAACACGCCAGATGCACTCTTCCACTTCATCCATCCAGCTTGTATTCTATGGTTGAGATCTCCATCTAATTCTCCGTTCTTTTGCAAGATAGATCCTAGGTAACGAAAACGGTCGCTCTTTGGTATTTCTTGATCTCCGATCCTCACCCCTAACTCGTTTTGGCCTCCATTTGCACTGAACTTGCACTCCATATATTCTGTCTTTGATCGGCTTAGGCGAAGACCTTTAGATTCCAACACTTCTCTCCAAAGGTTAAGCTTTGCATTTACCCCTTCCTGAGTTTCATCTATCAACACTATATCGTCTGCGAAAAGCATACACCAAGGAATATCATCTTGAATATGTCCTGTTAACTCATCCATTACCAACGCAAAAAGGTAAGGACTTAAGGATGAGCCTTGATGTAATCCTACAGTTATGGGAAGCTTTCGGTTTGTCCTTCATGAGTTCTTACGGCAGTCTTTGCTCCTTCATACATATCCTGTATAGCTTGGATATATGCTACTCGTACTCCTTTCTTCTCTAAAATCCTCCAAAGAATGTCTCTTGGGACCCTATCATACGCTTTTTTTTCCAAATCTATAAAGACCATGTGTAAATCCTTTTTCCCATCTCTATATCTTTCCATCAATCTTCGTAAGAGATTAGATTGCCTCCATGGTTGAGCGCCCTGGCATGAACCCGAATTGGTTGTCCGAAACCGTGTCTCTTGCCTCAATCTATGCTCAATGACTCTCTCCCAGAGCTTCATTGTATGACTCATTAGCTTAATACCCCTATAGTTCATGCAATTTGTACGTCGCCCTTATTCTTGTAGATAGGCACCAAAGTGCTCGTTCGCCACTCATTTGGCATCTTCTTCGTTTTCAAAATCCTATTGAAAAGGTCAGTGAGCCATGTTATACCTGTCTCTCCCAAAAACTTTCCACACTTCGATTGGTATATCGTCTGGGCCTATTGCTTTTCTATGCTTCATCTTCTTCAAAGCTACAACCACTTCTTCCTTCCGGATTCGACGATAAAAAGAGTAGTTTCTACACTCTTCTGAGTTACTCAACTCCCCTAAAGAAGCACTCCTTTCATGTCCTTCATTGAAAAGATTATGAAAATAACCTCTCCATCTGTCTTTAACCGCGTTCTCTGTAGCAAGAACCTTTCCATCCTCATCCTTGATGCACCTCACTTGGTTTAGGTCCCTTGTCTTCTTTTCCCTTGCTCTAGCTAGTTTATAGATATCCAACTCTCCTTCTTTGGTATCTAGTCGTTTATACATATCGTCGTAAGCCGCTAACTTAGCTTCTCTGACCGCTTTCTTCGCCTCTTGCTTCGCTTTTCTATACCTTTCACCATTTTCATCGGTCCTCTCCTTGTATAAGGCTTTACAACATTCCTTCTTAGCCTTCACCTTTGTTTGTACCTCCTCATTCCACCACCAAGATTCCTTTTGGTGTGGGGCAAAGCCCTTGGACTCTCCTAATACCTCTTTTGCTACTTTTCGGATACAACTAGCCATGGAATCCCACATTTGGCTAGCTTCCCCCTCTCTATCCCACACACATTGGGTGATTACCTTCTCTTTGAAAATGGCTTGTTTTTCTTCTTTTAGATTCCACCATCTAGTCCTTGGGCACTTCCAAGTCTTGTTCTTTTTGTCTCCCTCTTTTGATATGTACATCCATCACCAACAAGCGATGTTGATTAGCCACGCTCTCTCCTGGTATAACTTTGCAATCCTTACAAGTTATACGATCCCCTTTCCTCATTAGAAGAAAATCTATTTGTGTTTTTGACGACCCACTCTTGTAGGTGATCACATGTTCTTCTCTCTTCTTAAAGAAGGTGTTGGCTAAGAAGAGATCATATGCCATTGCAAAATCCAAGATAGCTTCCCCATCCTCGTTTCTCTCCCCAATACCATGGCCACCATGAAAACCTCCATAGTTGCCTGTCTCCCTGCCCACGTGTCCATTTAGATCTCCTCCTATAAATAACTTCTCCGTCTGAGCAATTCCTTGCACCAAGTCTCCAAGGTCTTTCCAAAATTTCTCCTTCGAACTCGTATCCAACCCTACTTGAGGTGCGTACGCACTAATCACATTGATAAGTTCTTGTCCTATTACAATCTTGATTGCCATGATTCTATCTCCTACCCTCTTTGACATCTACAACATCTTGTGTCAAGGTCTTGTCCACGATGATGCCAACACCGTTTCTCGTTCTATTTGTGCCCGAATACCAAAGTTTAAACCCTGAGTTTTCTAGATCCTTTGCCTTACTACCAACCCACTTAGTTTCTTGTAGGCACATAATATTTATCCTTCTCCTCACCATAACTTCCACTACTTCCATAGATTTTCCCGTTAAGGTTCCTATATTCCACGTTCCTAAACGCATTTTGCTCTCTTGAACTCTACCCTTCTGTCCTAGCTTCTTCACCCTCCCCCGTCTAATAGGATCAAAGTACTTCTTTTGTGTGTCCCGTGTAAAGTTGATAGGAGCATATGCTCCCAAACAACTTTGAGTGGAGTCGTTCGAAAAGAAGTTTCTACGGCCCCCTTGCTCATTTAACACTGCATCCGGGTGCCGATGGAGATACAGCGACCCTTGCTCACTTATCACTGTGCTCGGGCCACACAGCGCGCCACTTACGGGTGACGCCCTAGCTTTAGCGCGATTTTGTTCTGGATTCATTTTCATAAGGATTCGACGTGATCATGGAGTGCCGGCTGTCGACTACCTGACGCCCTCCCCCCTCCTCCTTTATCCGGGCTTGGGACCGGCAATGTAAAATTACATAGGCGGAGTTAAAATTGACAAGTCATCACAGCAAAAAATTCCACAAAACCAGCCCCCCTTGCAGCATTTTAGTCACTTTCAATCAACAAGTGGTTTGGTTACGAGCATTTATCACTGCATACGAGATCATAGATTCGATTTTCCCGTCCCTCACTATCAATTGTAGAGAAAAAAGGTATATGTCAAGAGTTATGCATGAAGCTCACACAACCTCAGCTTCACTATCAATAATTGAAGAAACAGTCCAAGAAGTTGGAAATGAGACTGCAAATCTAGGGACTGGATCCCATATAATCGAGCATTTCATACCAACCTTAAAATTGTTAAGGATAGAAGGACAGCACTCTAAAATATCACATTGTCTTGAGAGTTGAGGAAAAATACGAGGGAAAATAGAGAGTAATGGGTTCCATGGAAGTGGTGGGTGACGATGTCCAGCCAAGAAGTTACTGGAGATGCAGCAAACAAGATTTCCTACCGGAAGAATCCTTTCAGAACTGGAGCACATACCGAAAGGCCCTGTCACAAACAGGCCACAGGTTCAAGAACCGTCTCCTCAGCAGATCAAATGATAACGATGAGATTGGGGAACTTCGGAAGCAAAGTGAGAACGACATGAAGCGCTGCCTTACGTGGTGGGATCTCATGTGGTTTGGGTTTGGTTCGGTCCTTGGTGCAGGCATCTTTGCGGTTACTGGCCTAGAAACTCAGAGACATGCTGGACCAGCTATTGTCTTGTCATATGTTGTTTCTGGTCTCTCAGCAATGCTCTCTTGTCTTTTGCTATACAGAATTTTCAGTAGAAATCCCAGCGGCTGGTGGAGCATTTGCTTACCTGCGGATAGAATTGGGGGACTTTGTTGCATTCATAACAGCAGGAAACATACTTCTTGAAAGCATTGTCATAAGTGCAGTAGTTGCTAGAGCATGGACTTCCTACTTCACATCTCTCTTGAATCGTCCCTACGACTCGTTACTCATCCACACAAATCTGGCGGTGGGTTTCAATCTGCTGGACCCAATTGCTGTTGCTGTTTTGGCAATAGCTGCAACAATTGCAATGATCAGCACAAGGAAGACCTCTTTCTTAAACTGGATAGCATCTGCAGTCAATATTGTTATAATTTTATTTGTGATAATTGCATTGTTTCTCAACGCCAAGCCATCAAATTTGAAGCCCTTTTTTCCTTTTGGGGCCAAAGGAGTTTTTCAAGCAGCTGCAATTGTTTACTTTGCTTATGTAGGATTTGACAATATTGCCACCATGGCCGAAGAAACAAAAAATCCATCCAGAGACATACCTCTAGGATTGCTTGGATCAATGACAATCATCACTGTCATATACTGTTTAATGGCACTTTTTCTACCTATGATGCAGAAATACACAGATATAGACCCCAATGCGGCGTACTCTGCAGCATTTCAAAGTGTGGGCATGGCATGGGCCAAGTACCTGGTAGCTCTTGGTGCCCTCAAGGGAATGACCACTGTTCTTCTGGTTGGGACACTTGGGCAGGCACGGTATATCACTCATATTGCACGAGCCCACATGATTCCACCATGGTTTGCTCTTGTTCATCCAAAGACAGGAACCCCCATAAACGCTACAGTTTTGATTGCCATTTCAAGTGGCTGCATTGCTTTCTTTTCAAGCTTGGATGTCTTGGCGAGCCTGTTATCAGTGAGCACGCTCTTTATCTTCATGATGATGGCGGTCGCACTTCTAGTGAGGAGGTACTATGTGAGAGAAATCACCCCACAACAGCACCTCTTGAAGCTAGTCATTTTCTTGCTGATCATTATTGCTTCCTCAATGGGGACTTCAGCTTACTGGGGACTGAATCCCAATGGTTGGGTTGGCTATGTCGTGACGGTTCCTCTTTGGTTCTTTGGTACTTTGGCGATGGCAGTGTTTTTACCTCAACAGAGGTCACCAAAAGTTTGGGGAGTTCCGCTGGTTCCTTGGTTGCCATCCTTGTCAATTGCAACAAACATCTTTCTTATGGGATCTTTGGGTCCTGAAGCTTTTGAAAGATTTGGAATCTGCACTGTAATCATGCTTATTTACTACGTCTTCTTTGGTCTGCATGCAACTTATGATACGGCCCATAAGTAAGACATGCCGGAATCCCTGAAAGTCAATGGCAGCAATATCATAGAAAAGGCAGAGCCTTGAAATCATAGTACTCTCTGAATGTTTTTATGAATGCTTCTTTAGTTTCTTTTCATATTACGATGCAACGTGTTCCGAGTACAAATTGTTCTTAGTGTAACAGTAAACAAAACTATACTACTTGCAGCAATGTGATGATTACTAATAAATGAGTATCGAATGTCAGAATAATGCTGGAAATAGAATGAAAGCTGAACATATGAAAAATATTATCAAATGCATCTGCATACAAAAGTTAAAATATAGAAGGCTGGGTTCATAGCATCCTTGCCACAGTCGGAAGAAAGAAGGCATGCCAAAATAAATAGCTATCTGGATATTTTGTTTTGTAATATGCAATCTACAATAGTCTCAGTTAAAGTTTGTTGTTAACTTGTGCTCAGTCTTCTCAGCAATGAAAGCGATACAAAATATTAAGAGAGTTAATTCCCAGACACATTTCACCACTACAATGCAAATAGATATTAAAAATTCGTTATGCTAGTAAAAGTTGTAGGGGCGATTCTGTGATAACCACTGTTAGAATGGGTGTCAAATTACAAAGTTGTTTCACCTTTTTAGCATTAATGCATTAATAGCTATCTAGTCTTAGACACAAAATGGAAAAAGTGAAGAAACATACGAGTAATTCAAGGTTCAAGAAAATCGATGACCATAACATGTCAAGCATAAGATAAGAGATCAGTCTTCAAATCTGTACCTGACTCCAAATTCACCTTTTTACCAACAGACATTTCAATATTCTCCAACAAGCTTATTGCCCAGGGTCGACCTGCACCAACCTAGAACCAAGGAAAAATAAATTTTAGTTATCTGTATTTTCTGAAGAAAAAAAAAGAAGAAGAAGCAAACGGCTAATAAGAGATTTGATTGCAGTTCGTATAGTTTCAGTCAAGTACCTTTGCTCATCTGCAGATTTGACATATGCTGCTTAGGGGAATAAAAATGAGGCAGCCTGTTTTGCACATTTCATAAAACAGATGTCCAAACATCAGTATTTGCAAGGGTGCCGACTGTAAGAGACCTTCAAACAAATCTACTTTTTCAGAAGTTTCTTATGAGAACAAATTGGTACAAAATGTAAAGTAGACAATGCCAATGGTAAGTAAATAAGAAAGGCTGGATCACATATATTATTAATCTTTCAACCAAAAGTTAGCCTCATTATTTCATATAGATGGTTTCCTTCTCAAAAACAATGTACAGAAGAAACTAAAATATGCCGACCGAATATGCAAAATACGTTACAAAACAATCACTGATACTGAAGTAACACTACTCTATGCAGCAGAAACTAATATTGATTTTCCATTCCACGGCTTACTATGTACCATTATATCCAAAGACAAATTTGTATTATCAACAATCTTCAAAGTTACAGGGTAGACAGCCAACTATATAAAGCCAAGCAGACTGCATGCCATTAAAATTTATATTTTAGTATGTTAGAAAATACGTGAGATATGAAATGAAAAGACATCACCTCCTGTTTTTTACTCTTAAGAGTTTAATACCTAGCTGTGACAACCCAAGTAAGAAAGAAATAGTTCCAGTCACAGTCTAACCAAGCTTTGATAAGAAAAAAAATAAAAGCCTTACTTTAAGACTAGAAATATAGGTTGCTCCAACATTTGTCAATGGCTGCTCTAACCTTCTTAGGTTTGCAAAGTTCTTGCACAACTTTTGTCCAAACAGAGGCTTTGGGTGGCAAATATTTTTTCAGCATTACTTCTACAATCTGGGAAGCACCTACTATCCTCTGCTGCTTTAACAGCCGGACCACAAGCTCATTTAGGAACTCCCTTCCATCTTGAGGAGGGTTGAGTTTTTCTCTCAAAGTTCTCAGGAAGATGTCACACGTAACCAAATCGGGATCACAACCCCTATCCATCATTCTATTTAAAATATGAATGGCAAGGGAGATATTACTCTGCTTGCAGATGGCATCGAAAAGTATGTTATAAGTGATAACATCTGGTTGACATTCAGGCTCCTGAGAAAGCATTTCATTGAAAAGTTTCAAACCCTGCTCAACCAAACCATCATTGCAAAGGCCATGAATCATCAAACTATAAGCCACAACATCAGGTTTATGTCCACTTCCCAACATCTTCTGCCACGCCATCAGGGCCTCTTTGAGTTGCCCATCCTTGCATAGCCCATGAATTAGGACACTGTAACAGACCTCATTGCGCATAAAATTCTTGTTTTCCATTTCATTCCACAAAAGAATGGCTTTTTTACTCCGACCCGTCTGAAAGAACCCCCTCATTAAGGAGCTATAAGTGAAGGAATTGGGCAAGCAACCATTACTCACCATCTCACAGAATACTTCCTTGGCTTCATCTGGTTTTCCTTCTCGACAAAGGCCATCTATGAGAGCACTATAGACAACGGTGTTGGGTTTACATCCCTTCTCCATCATCTCCTTCCACAATGTCATCGCATCATCAAATTTTCCCTCCTTGAACAGTCCACTAACAAGGACTGAATAAATATACTCATTTGCATGACACCCTCTTTCCTCCATAGAGATCAACACTTGAGCTCCATCAACTGCTCGTCCTTGCTTAACAAGTCCATTGATGATTGTTCCGTATGTCACATCATTAGGCACACATTTATTCGAAACCATTCGATCCAAAAGACTAACTGCTTTGTCCAACTTACCCTTGAGACACAAACCATGAATAAGGGTGTTATAAGTGACTTCATTTGGAACACTGCCTTTGAGAAACATATTATCAACAAGCTTCGCTGCACGGGCCAAGTCACCCTTCTTGCACAATGCATTAATTAACACATTAAACGTCATAGAACTCGGCAAGCACCCCTCAATTTGCATCTCATCCAACAAAAAAACTGCCTCATCAATCCTATTATCCTTGCATAACCCATCCATCAATGTACAAAACGTGAACACATCAGGAGTGCAATTCCTACTCGGCATTTCTCTAAACATTTCGACCGCTCTATCAACCAATCCAAACTTACACATGGCCTTGATGACCAAATTATAACTAAGTACATTGGGCGAAATGTTTATGTTTGTATTACCAACAACACAGGAATAAAACTCCAAAGCATGAGAATAATGACCCTCCTGTATAATAACATTAAGAACCGAATTAAATGACTTAACAGTTCGTCTACACTGAAATTCATCCACCATTCTATAAAACAATTCTACAGCTTTATTGGGTAAATGCGCTTTTCCATAAGCTCTAAACATCAGAATAAAACTCTTCTCAATAAAAACTCGCCTTTCGCACTTCATTCGATCCAAAACCTGCTCCAGGGACCTAAAATCGCCTGAATTGGCGTAATTCTCAATGAGTGAATAAAATGTGGAATCACCCGATCTGTAAGAACCCAATTTGGCACCTTTCCTGAACATTTCATCAGAAAATGGGGGCTGGGTTTCGTCATTATTTACAGGTTCAGCTTCTAGGGCTTGGTTCGATGGAATTGCAAGAACTGAAAAGTGAGAGAGAAGTGAAGAAGTTAACAACTCACATGGCGGGATTGGATAGAGACCCAGCTTCTGAACGCCATGTGGGATTGAGCTGCCGAGGAGCTTCGAGTAGTAGGTTGAGCATTTTGGCATGGGATTAGAAGGGTTTCTTCTGGGTTTTGGATTGAAACCTGCATAAAACTCCAAATGGGTTGAAAGATATCGGAATCAAAATACTGGGTTTTGATAGGTTTTTTCCGTTTCAGAGAGAGGCTAACTCTCCGAGTGAACTCGCTGAGTGGTTTCGAACTCAGAATATCACAGAATCCTTTAAACCAGAGCAGCAGAAAGAAGGTAAGGTGAAGAAGTTCTGGTTGGAAGAAGACGCCGGTTTTTACAAACACGCTCAAAGTACAAAATAAAAGTGGTTAATTACATTTAACACCTCCATGTTTGGGTGATTTTCAAAATGGGCTTCGTTTTCAGTTTTTCTCATATTGCCCACCGAGGATTTTAAAGTTGCGTCTGTTTATACATTTTTTCTGATGAATCATTTGAATGTTCATCAAATTGATGACATGACGTGCATAAAATCCATAACTGCAATGACATGTAAGCTACATTTGCACTATATTACTTAAAAAACTTATAAACATAATGGATATTTGAAGTTTTGAAATTGTATCGATATATACATTTTGTCTAATGAATTATTTGAATGTTCGTTAAATCGATGACATGGTGAACATGAAAGCGTAACTGCGATGACATGTAAGCTATATTTGCACTACATTGACCAAAAAACTCATAAACTTAATAAATATTTAGACGTTCAAATATCCAAAAAGTGTAAATCAATAGAATTTCAAAACGTCCATTTCAAAACCTTAGTTAGCTGAATAAAGCCTTCGGTTAAGGTTAAACCCCAGAGGACTGAAAAATGAATGACATGCGGAACCGTTAGATCATAGCATCTGACAGACGTGAAAGCCGCTGGCAGCGGCGGCGTCCAGTACAAGATTGCAGCCGGCGCTCTGCCTCCACATCAAATCATAGAATATGTGAATGATGGGGATGCCGGGCAAGCGGCCGAGCTTCAGTGCAAGGCAATGGTGGAGGACATGAGGATCGACTTAAACAACCAAGACAAGGGAAAAGGCGAGAACAAGAAGAAGAATTTGAGAAATACCAGTAGATCCCCTGCACATGGTTTCACTACCAAATTCATTGCTTCAGCATCGTTGACAAACGAAACGAGTTGAATTCTGAAATCTTCTTGTATCAGAAAAATGAAATGGGTCTTGAAACAGAATTTTAGGACCAAATTGTTACAAGATGTTCAAATACTAGTAGTGTTCTTATTCAAAACACTACTCAAGAACCTAACCCAACATGTTAAAGTACTACTTTTTGTTACGCTTGGCAGCACGCCTTCCTTGACCCTTCTTCGGTGGTCCTTTTCCTCGACGCTTCAACATTTCAAGCTTGGATAAGCGCCTAGAAATACACCAAGTAGAGAAACATCAGGACTGTTAGTCACCAAAAGCTACTAATACTTCTTATTATACAAATCATGAAATCGGTACAATTTACATTCTGTAAAGTTCATGTAGAACAAAGATGAAATACATCGATCAAAGGCTAGGTTGCAACACTCGAACGCGAGGTAGAAAAAGGAGCAGTTCTTATTTTTGTAATAAGCACTCAGTTGCCTATGAAATATGCATTAGTTGCTCACTCAATTGTACAGAGAATCTACCTACGAAACTGAAAGTAACACTATATACACTACCCACTTTCATGCTCTATAAACAAAATACGGTAGTGCTGTAATGCATGACATTCCATAACGAAAGTGTTCATAAATAATGCCATGGTATGTTACCGAAATTACAAGTTCTACATTGAAGAATAAACCAGTAAAACATAAAAACAGATATTTAGAAGACATTAGAGAGAGGGAGGGAGAGAGAGAGAGAGTACTCTTGTTCTTCCATAGCCATGATTCGGGGGTCATCTTTCTTGATGTCATAAGGGTACCACTGGGCAACTTTCTCACCGATCAACTTCTTGCGCAGAATCTTATGGGCAGATCTCTGGCCCGTTGGGTTAATTACGTGCCCGAATATCCTCGCCCTAGCCTCAGTCACCCCGGTATTGACTGCCGCAACCAACATGTTCTTTAGACCACCGGTAGCCATCTCACTTCACCTCTCCAATTCAAAAAAGATACACACTTTCAGTATTTGAGGATTATTTGTCACCTCACAAGGCGAAGTCCAAATTTTTCATAGTTACAAAACTATGCAAGACAGTTTGACACTACCGTAATTCAATTGATAGTGCCATTGTAACCTCATCAGTCACCACGTTGACATTTTATCAAACACCTAATGTGCAACTCAAGCTACTGTACTGATGCAATTACAGGGCGCATATAAACTGATCCTAACTAGTGTGTATCAAACATCCAATGTGCAACTCATCAGTCCACTTAACTGACATTTTATCAAACACCTGGTGCGCAACACAATCACCTACTGTAATGATGCAAATACAGGGATATGTAAACACCCACATATCAGATTGATCTTAACAGTAATGAACAAACCATTCTTTATATATATATATATACATATATATATAGAAAGAGAAAGACCTGAAAATGGGAATGGTATACGATGGGTGCACTACTGGAGTTATCGCTTCTACGATGAGAGCCGTTATGCGACCCGCTGGCTCGTTATCTTCTAAAACGAAGGGGAAAAAGGGCTAAATTTTACATATGGGAAGGGTTCTATTTCGAAACAAACCCGCCAAAAGCCTTTGTTCTAGCTAATAGGATGTGTTTATTTTGACCTTGGTATAAGGTGACAATGAGTCTCTCACCCCTTAACTTATTCTTCGTGCATCCAAGTCTTTAATGCCCTGCTTAGTTCAAGTCCACGCTACTAGGCTCTTATCCATTCAAGCCACATATATATCTCTTCTCCGGTCCAAATGATTAGTGTTTATAATCTTACGATAAGATGATCCGCCACGATTCGAGGGAAAAAAAAAAGACGTACTAAAAATGAAGATAAAAATCTTTGCACAAACTCATATAAGTTTGTGCAAAATTGAATGCCACAAAACTTTCCTAGCTTTTCTAAACTTGTAAGCTTTTTATCAGAATAATATCCGCTCTTGGTATAGATCCAGCGCCTGCATCACCTTCTCTATGAACAATTTCCGGTGCAACCTATACCTGCGTATGTCGAGATCAGCGAAATCATCAAGAGTGGTTCTAGTTTGCCCTACATTTAAGTCCAAAAACCTCTGAAATGAATAATTTGATGATTACATACTTGATTGCAGCTTCAAGCGTCCTACTAGCATCCGGCATTGAATCTGCAGAAGGTAAGACGGGAAGAAACATACGTTTTCGGTGTCAAGACAAGAACAAAATTATATGGGAGCTCGGTTTCCCCTTACCTAGGATTTTTTGGTCTTGCTTAGAGTTGGTAGGAAACGCTGCAATTATCTGCCGGCATTCTTCCTGTAATTCCTTTATGGCTTTTCTTTCCATGCTTGGGATTGGAGGCACGTCCCCTTCTGACCACGTGGGCAATGTTCTTGCTGCTGCTATGATCGCTCCGTCAACAGAAGTATCTCCATCATTAGATAGGCGACCTGCTACAAGTTTTATACAGATCTTTTAACCACGATGCTGATAGGTATAAAGGACTACAAATCCTGTATAGAACAAGCCATAGAAAGAGTCCAAATGCCTCATTCTGTTATGATAGTACTCTTCGTGGAGTCCGGACATATTGAATACTGACAAGAAGGAATCCAAATGAATACGTGCATTTCCAGAGAACGGAATCACATCCCAAGGGTTCTGCAATTTCAAGCCAGATAGAGAGCACTAAATTAGAAAAAGTACAAATCCATGATACTTCTAATTACTGGATCTATATATTCAAATATTTATCATACTTAACCGAAATAGAAAAATAATCTGAAGCACTAGTTTTCGGTGAAGTTGAGGTTTCACCATAAAACCATTGGCAAGAGAACATTACCACAGGAGAAGAGAACCCATATCGTTGCATTAACATGTCATTCTGTTGTCCGCTCATGTAATTGACGGTCATCTGTAATACTCCTCCAAATTAGTAGCAGATCATCTTCATATATGTGCAACATTAATATTATTGAGGGAGGGTGAAATATTCAAATAAAAAACTGAAGGAGGAAGAGTTTGAATTGGGAAGGATGACCAAACACAGTGCCGAGGAAGCTCAAGTTACTCCTGACAACTGTTAGTCAGGTAAACAAAAAATGAAACTCATCCCTGCATAAGTATCCTTGCAAGCATTTAACAGTGAAAGGAATTTATCGAAGTCAATTGATAAAATAGAATAGATATTACCTCATCACCTTTCTTAATCCTTTTTCCAGCATTTATCATCACTTCAAGCATCCGATCCTTAAAACGCCAATGAAAAAAGCAGTTTGGCTCGAACGAATGGTTTAGCATGTCCGCAAAATGTAGCAAATTGATTAGACAGCAATCTAACATAAAAGGGAACATAATGGTCACTGAATGCAGATGGTTTAAGGAAACCATTTGCTCCAAAATCCCGATAAGTAAAAATAGAAACCATATATGTACATAACACAACTAATGTAAACAGAAACTGAATTTCAGAGACACAGTTGTTTCTTCATCAAATGTTGCTAGATTTAAATTGACAAAGGTGTCAAAACCAAATTGAACAAAGAATATAATATATAATAACAAAGATAAGTTCTCGATTCTCCCCTCACAATTGCAATATTAGTTTTATAATATAACCACGAGATCGAAATTATAAATCAAACGTGGATGATTAGAAGAGAATAGAAGCTTACCTGCATGAGGAATTAGCATATTTGCATCTTGAATAAGTGCACCAATTCTCATTTGCATGCCAATGCATCGTGTTGGTGCCATACTCACTGCCCAAATGAATCTTTCAGAATCACGAGCAAGGCGCTTAATTTTTAGTGGTACACCAGAGTGCTGATTGAGGTTTAGCGCACACACAAACGCATGCGTAATGAGTTCAAACATATGATAATCAATTTTTTTTCAGCAGAATAATGATAAGATATACAGGCTGGTTAATACTCAAGTTTTGTGGCTGATTTTTTTTTTCTTGCAGTCATGGTATTTTTCAAGTGTTTTAAGAGCAACACCATCACCATTCTTGCAAAGGACGGCGATTCGCAAGATAAGGGAACAACGTTGAAGCTTTACGTGCCACTGACTGGTCCTAAGGCGCTTGCTCTTCTCGCGAAAGACAACTTCATGCATATTAAGTCGTGGTCTTCCGAAGTATCTTAGGAGATGGTAGACTCTGTTCGACCAAATACGAAGAAGGCGTGCATATTGAGGGTTTTTATCTTGAATCCTTGGTGTCAATCATCCGGCCTCGTTTAAACTTCTTGGTGTCACCACTTGCGGCGAGGATGTTCTTGTTCTTCGCGTTGGTTGCGAGAACCGCTTGAACCTTCCTTGATGTCATTTGATTTTCAAATGTGTGCTTTGATTTCCTTGAATGGAGAAAGAGATGAGAGGTAGAGACCTGTCCCACTGGGTGTGCCAAATTTGTGAACACGAAAATTCTTGAAACAAGAACGTGTACAAAGAAAGATTTTGGTGTTAATAGATTTGTAGGGTTACAATCTCTTTATAACTTGATCCTCTGATTCGATCTCCATAAGGTGTTGATTTGTGGATGTTTTGTTGATCCAAGGGCCGTCGAGGCTTGATCTTGGATGAACTGTTGGAAGTTTTTTCAAGAGCCCTCGGGCTTGATCTTGAAGGTTGAGGGAAGTTTCTTCAAGAGCCCTCGGGCTTGATCTTGAAGGTTGAGGGAAGTTCCTTCAAGGGCTTTTAGGCTTGATCTTGAAGGTTTGAGGATGAACAGATCTTCAAGAGCTTTTGGGCTTGATCTTGAAGAATGGATATGTGGATTTGTTGATGTTGTTGATCCAAAGGGCCGTTGGGGCTTGATCTTAGGATGAACAATGAACACTTTCAAGGGTCGTCGAGGCTTGATCTTGAATTGGTGGTAGTTCTTCAAGAGCCGTTAGGGCTTGATCTTGAAGGAGGATTTGACGAAGAACGAAGAGGGTTTTCTTGATCCTTTGGGATTTGCTTGAGAGCGTTGGAGTTTCAAAGCTTCAAGGTGTTTGTGTGATGTGAATTGGTGTTTTTTTTAGGATGCCTGATACCTTGATGGAGAAGCCTATTTATAGGCTTTGAAAATGAATCACCAGCACAAAATTTTCCCACTTAACCACCATTACCTAATTTTCCCACTTAATGCAATATTAAAATTAAAGTGGTCTAACATTTGACCTAATTTCCCACTTAATACCATTTTAAACTTAAAGTGGTCTAACTTATGGCCTAATTTTCCCACTTGATACAATTTTAAACTTGAAATGTGCTTGCTTTGTCATTGCCCAAAAGAGAAAAACTTGTTTTGATCCGTAATGGATTGAAATGTGTTTACCTTGTCATTGTCCAAAATGAGAAGAAAAACTTATTTTCATCCATAATGAATTGAAGTGTGCTTGCCTTGTCATTGCCCAAACATGAGAAGAAAAACTTGTTTAATCCTCCAAGGGTATTTCTTCCAATTTGTTGAGTCACATGCCATGTGTACAATTGTGTGACACGTGGCGCATCCCATGTATGCCGTGACACGTCGAAACTTTAATGCGTTGGTGAAGATTTATTTACGGAAATTTCATTGTCTACAAATGCCTCCACTTCAAGGCGTGTCGTATACATGTGTTTGTCACGTGTAGAAGATGCGTTTTGAAGTACCTTAATGTAGATGTCAATCCAAGGGCCGTCGAGGCTTGATCTTGAATTGGGTTGGAGGGTTTTCTCCAATTGTTGATTTTCCACAAGCTTAATCTTGAACTGGAGGGTTTTCTGGTTTCCTCCAAGGGTTTGAATTTACTTTCCACAAACTTAATCTTGAACTGGATTTGTTTAACATCCTTGGAGGATTAAACAAGTTTTTCTTCTCATGTTTGGGCAATGACAAGGCAAGCACACTTCAATCCATTATGGATGAAAACAAGTTTTTCTTCTCATTTTGGGCAATGACAAGGTAAGCACATTTCAATCCATTACAGATCAAAACAAGTTTTTCTCATTTGGGCACTGACAAAGCAAGCACACTTCAAGTTTAAAATTGTATCAAGCGGGAAAATTAGACCATAAGTTAGACCACTTTAAGTTTAAAATGGTATTAAGTGGGAAATTAGGCCAAATGTTAGACCACTTCAATTTCAATATTGCATTAAGTGGGAAAATTAGGTAATGGTGCTTAAGTGGGAAAATTTTGTGGTGGTGATTCATTCTCAAAGCCTATAAATGGGCTTCTCCATCAAGGTATCAGACATCCTAAAAAAAACACCAATTCACATCATACAAACACCCTGAAGCTTCGAAACTCTAAAGCACTCAAGCAAATCCCGAAGGATCAAGAAAGCCCTCTTAGTTATTCGTCAAATCCTCCTTCAAGATCAAGCCCTAACGGCCCTTCAAGATCAAGCCCCGAGAGCTCTTGAAGAAACTTCTAACAGTTCATCCAAGATCAAGCCTCGACGGCCCTTGATCAACAAAACATCCACAAATCAACATCTTACGGAGATCAAATCTTTAAGGATTTGATTCAAGGGTGGTGAATCGGCACGTGCAGCTCATAACGCCTAGCGAGTCGACCCAAGAATTTGAGGGTCAAAACTAGTCCACCCAACCCAGAGTGATCGCAACCCTGATGATATGAGATACTTTTGATTTTGAAGAAGTAGCGGATGAATCGGCACATACTTTGTTGTGCTTGTCTCCATATGCTTCAATGTATCATTTTCACTTGCTTTACATGTTCTTCAGACAGATGTGGTATCTTCTCTGGAAGCACAAGATGTTGAAACAATGGGTACTTCGAGAGCAGTGCTAGGTAAGCAATCAGGGAAGGGTTCCAGGCAATCAGTTTCAGATCAGAAGTTTGAGTGGAGGTTCCGACATATTGCTTTCTTTATCTTTGTCTTTGCAGGTAAGAACAATGACAAAGGAAAGAACAGGGAGATTGCATGATATGAGATACTCTTGCTTTCTACCCTGATGATATGAGATACTTTTGCATTGGTGTCATTTGTTTGACAAGGTATTCCTGGATAGGAAGAAAATTGAGTATTTCGAGAGGCTCTGATGGGAGTACACTCTCGGAAGTGAGGAAGGGTTGGGCATTTTTTGCAGGTCTGCCTTACTATGGAGGAGGAAGGTCGACATATATAGGAATTTCCCAACAGCCAGTAGTGGCACTATTCCTTTACTCTTATCGGCAACCGTTGGGTAATTGAAACAGTAAGATTCATGCGTTTTCGACTTTGTCAGATATCTTTGACAAAGTTGCATGTGCTTTCTGCAAAGTTAAGGTTGCGTGTGAAGAGTGGCGACAAATCCGGAAAAGCCGGTCTTTGAAATTCCGAGAGCGGTGCCTCTTCGATCTCTGAACAACCACGTTGCCTCTTCGATTTCTGAACAGGCCCTGTTGCCCCTTCTTTTTATAGAGGCATTAATCGTGTTCAAAAACACACTTAGAGAGTTGCTACCTGTTAGGAATTTCCCTCCTTTTGTGGTTGCTAGAAATCTTCACCCCCAAGGATAGTAGGATCATTTCCAAACGGTCTGATGAGCTAGCTGTTCAGGACTCTCTGGCTTTCAGTGTTCAGTGTGCGGGCTTCGTATCAAATACGGGCCAACGCCTTCTTGCTCGAACCCGTCAAGTGGAGTCACTGATGGTTGAGGTGGCAAGTCTTAAGCAAGAGATTAGAGGGCTTAAGCATGAAAACAAAGAGTTGCACATGCTTGCCAATAGTTACTCGACGAGCATGAAGAGAAAGATTGACCAGCTGCAGGAATCCGAAAGTTGGATTCAGAATGACCATCAGATGTTTGTGGCTTTACTCCAGAGGCACCTATTGCCTTCGTCCTCTAGAGTTTTACCGAGTGTTGAGGCTCCAAACAATCAACCTCCAGCGCCTCTTCTTCCTGGCGCTCCGCCGAGTGATGAGGCGGCACCTGATCAAACTTTGTGATGGCTCCCTATTGTTTGTTCATTTTATTTTATTTTATTTTATTTTTTGGACTCATGTAAAAATGTTCATTTATGTAAATTTTTAGAGAAATAATAAATGAGTTTTATTTCATTTTAACTAAGATGTGGTACTTTTTTTTTTCTTCTCTGCGCCTTGACCAATCAATGCATATTTTTAGGAAGACTGATTGAAGCATTAAACAGCCTCTGCATGACCTGCTGCTACTTTGTTGCATATATAATATTTATATACACAAACTCTCACAGCACCATTCCAATTGCCTTTATTTTTTATTATAAATATTTTTTTTCTTTTTATTTTTTTATTCTCATGGTGCTTGAAGCACCAAAACAAAAAAACCTTTTGTATATTTTTTTTATTCTTTTAAGATGGTGCCTGATGCATCGAAGACCTGATATATATTTATTTTTTTTGTTATTTTGTTATTATTTTCTTTGCATGGTGCTGCAAGCACCGAAATTTTTTAATAATATATACATATATTTTATGTTTTCTTTAACATGGTGCATGAAGCACCCAAATTTTTTTTTTATTATATTATTATCATATATATTTCTTTCTTTTCTTTTCTTCATTTGGACGGACGAGTTGAGCCTACAAAATGACCATAGACATAACTTCCTTCTGCTGTGAACGTTCTTCTGTGCTTTGCTGCTTGTCGGACTGGTGAACTTTGGAGCTTGGAGCAGACCACGTGGTGTTGTGCAAAAGACTGCAGCGGGATTTTGTTGTGTAGTGCGATTGCGTAGCATTTTGGTTTTCTTTGCCAGTGTAGCGTGCTTTGAAGGACCGCTCTGTAGCTGCCCTATTTGCCGTGCCGCTCAAGTTTTGTGGCTGATTTTTTTTTTCTTGCAGTCATGGTATTTTTCAAGTGTTTTAAGAGCAACACCATCACCATTCTTGCGAAGGACGGCGATTCGCAAGATAAGGGAACAACGTTGAAGCTTTACGTGCCACTGACTGGTCCTAAGGCGCTTGCTCTTCTCGCGAAAGACAACTCCATGCATATCAAGTCGTGGTCTTCCGAAGTATCTTGGAAGGTGGTAGACTCTGTTCAACCAAATACGAAGAAGAAGCCGTGCATATCGAGGGTTCTTATCTTGAATCCTTCACACCATGCTCGTGACAATCATCCGGCCTCGTTTAAGCTTCTTGGTGATCACATCCGTAGCGGAGGTATGGCTTGGAATCGTACCATGTCGATTACTGAAGAGGCCGTCTTTGATGAGTTTTATTGGGAGTGGCTTGAAGATGTCATAAGCCGATCTAAATATGTGCTTACTAACGTGGGCCTTTACCACGCTGTGTACGCATCTTTGTTTAGTTATGATCGCCATCCTTCCGTCCATCGTGAATTCTTTTAGCATTGGTGTTCGACGACCAACACACTTCACACGACGCAAGGGGAGATGTCAATTTCACTTTGGGATCTTCACAGGATAGGAGGCATGCCGATCAAAGGTAAGTTTTACGACGAGGTCGTTCCCAGCGGGGAGGAACTTTCTCTTTGCAATAGCTGAGGATTGCCTGCGAGTTGCCGTTGTTTGTTTTGGGCGTATCACAAGTTTTTTCAGGATGCTCAAGGTAAATCAGGTGTGAGAATTTCCTCATGGAT